AAGATCCACTTGGACCCAACTGCTACTATGACAAAACCAAATCCTTCTTTGATAACATCTCCTGTGATGACAATAGGTATGCCCTGCAAGGGGAAGCATGTTAGTCTGCTTAATGCATGTTTGTCATAATGTAGTGTCAGCACTGCTCATTATAATCCACTCTGAACTGAAAGTGAGTAAAGCTTATTTCCACATGCAGTGGGCAAAAATAAAGCAGGAATATTAAGCACAACATTTCTTTGTGGGCAAGTGCAATACATTAATAGGAAGACATTTTTAAATGTTGTTTTAGAACCATGCTTCTATAACTTAGTGTACATACTCTAGAATCTCCTTTCCAGATTTACTAAAGTGGGTTTTTTGTTTTGGGTTGCTACTAAATTGCCACTTTAGTTCTATCAGTTATGACTGTGCTTTCGTAATGGTTTCTAAGTAGATTACATAACTGTCTTGGCCAGTAGTGTTGTTTGAGTGGGAAGATAACATTTCAGGAAGATTAAAGCTTATCTTTTACTGTTGCTGTTTTATTAGAGAAGATGATGTGGACTGCTGACCTACTTTGAATTACGGCGGAGGAGGGGGATTGTTTTGTTTTACTGACAGCTAGATAAATAACATCTGTAACTGCAAACTCTTACTTTGTTTCTTGTTTCAAATTGCAGACAGGTTTTATTTATTTTATTATATGATGCTGTGTGCAGAGGATACAGACTGTGTCCTTCTGTATGGGAATGTTACAACCTTATTAATATATAATTAATGATACTGTAACACATCCCTTTTTGTTGAGTTAAATAAATTATGGCAGATACATAGATTCTTGCAGAAGGGATAATGTGGAGATTTACAATGTCATTAATGTATCATTTTTCATTTAATGGCTTTCTGGTGATTCTAACTAAGCCAGGCAATCTTCCTTCTGAAATGTGTTTTCAAACAATCCTTGTTGCTTTTGTGTGGCAGAGAACGGCGACCCACCTGGGCTGAGGAAAGAAGATTAAATGCTGAGACCTTTGGAATACCACTGCGTCCCAATCGTGGCCGTGGAGGGTACAGAGGCAGAGGGGGGATTGGCTTCCGAGGTGGAAGAGGACGAGGAGGTGGAAGAGGGGGCTTCACTGCCCCCAGAGGATTTCGTGGTGGATTCAGAGGAGGTCGTGGAGGCAGGGAGTTTGCTGACTTTGAATATAGGGTAAAATACATTTAATCTTATTATGAAGTCCATTAATGCTGAAATTTTAGTTACATAGCATTGTTCTACTGTCAACAGCTACCAAAACTAAAAGCTACCTTTCTTCACTAAATATTTGTTCTATAGCTGAAATTGGAAGGGTAAGAAGTAAAAGTTCTGCAGATTTAATACAAGTGTTGGAAATTTGAATCGAAAGTGTTTTTCTAAGTAATGTTGTAAAATGTAAAGATTGAGAGGGAATAATTTAACTTAGTGTGCAACAAACTTTTAAAAATCTTTGTGAATGAGTTGACACAAAGCTATAGACTTCTAAGATCCTGTATAACAAAGCAAGATAAAAAAAATATTTGAGTTCTATAAGTTCCTGTTACACACTTTTTTTTTAAATTATAATTTTACGTAATTATATCAAATAGCTGTTGGGGAAGCTAAGGCAGGGTTGACTTTTCAGTGAGTCATTCAGTAAAAGTGAACTGTGGGAAATAAGGCATAAAAGCTTCAAAAGAAAACCCCCCTGTCCATCCCATAGAGTAAGTGTTTTTAAAATATTAAAATAAGTACTATTACTTTATTTTTAGTTGAATATGAATGAAGCTTAAAGTTCCTTTAAGCATCTTGCACACGACAGCCTGTAAGTCTGGTAACTGAAGTAACCTGATATACAAACATGCTTTCATAATCACATAAGCATAGAAATAGTAATTTGTTCTGCAAGAGTTGTGATGGCTAAAAAGCAGAGTTTTCATTTACAGTATAGTTATGCAATTTGTTGGGTTTGGAACACTGTTAAGACATCCATTTCTCTGTTTGCTGCTGAAGGTCTTAACTCTTCTTGCTACCAGCCATTCAGAGGAAGGACCAGGTTAGTTGTCAGCCCCAGGTTGTGATGTGTTCTCTGCTAGTGGTATTTTAGGTGGTCTTTCTTTTTCTTGGAAACAATGTACACACTCCTCTTCGTGAAAGCTTGTTGATCATGCAGATTATGTAAATCAGCAGAACCTAGTTGCTTACAAAACCAAAGTCTTTTAATAATGTCAGTGCAAGCCATTTTTCTTGGCATTAAGCATGTATATTCAGCTGGAACATTATCTTGTTAAGGAACAGAAATAACACTTGCATACTGTTCAGAGTCAGTAACAAATGTAATTAACCAGATTGGTGCAAGTAAATGTAGGCTTTTACAATTCTGTTTTGGACAGAAGAATTTTTTCTGGTAGTTCACTTGCATGAGCAGTTCGAGTTTTGCAACACAAAATCTTTTTTTTGTTTGTTTTGAATATTTAAATATTTTTAGTTAAAAAAAAAAAAAAGATAGGAGCCTTTTTTTGTCACACAAGATTTCTGGCTGTCTTTCAGTTTTATTCCTTCATTAGTTTGCCCCCATTAGTCCTGTGATTGAAAGCAATCTTTGGTAGCTGAGCATGAACTGACGTGAGGGGTTGAAGATCAAAGACTTGAATTCCTGAATGAATTTCACAGCCTTCCAGATAAGTAGGGGCTAGAGTAAAGACTGAGTACTTGTGCTAGTGGAAGTGATGAGCTGCTTCTGTGTGTGCCAGACGTGAACCAGGTCACACAGGGCGGTCTCTGTTCTCATTGCAGAAGATGGGAAGTAGCCATCACAGTGCATCTTTTCCCAGTGCTGCTGCCCAGATGAATTTGTGCTTTTTGTTTTGCAAAAATAATTTTCACATTCTACTGTTGTTCCCTCTAGAAAGACAACAAAGTTGCTGCATAGTCTACAAGAAAGCTGAAAGCGGGTGAACGTCTAGATCTTCTTGATCCAGAGAATTAGTTTCAATCTCTGCAAAGAATGAAGTTAATTTGCTGTATACTTGTCACCAGCACTGGGATTTAACTATTTAATTTCAAAGGGGTGTAATGCAGTTACTTTTGAAAAATGGCCATCTTTGAAAACAGTGAGCATTAAATATATTTGAGACAGAAGGATAAGTAATTTCTTATGTATAGTTAATTATAAAGCAGTACTTCGATGGAGTTTAAGTATTTTTTCATCACTGAAAGGATTTTTCTTATTACTAAACTGTATTTGATAATTGCTTCAAGTTGTAAGGACAATTGTATGCAGAAGGCCGTCGATACTGTGAGTGTTTTGATCCACTGAAGGTTGTTTTTTGGAAATCCTGTAATATCCCTTTTGAGATAGTTGTACTTTTATCAACTAGGGTGCTGGACAGTAGAAAACTTGCTTTGTCAGTCCAATATGTACACACAGTAAATACTGTTTCTTAGGCAAAGGAAACTTTTTATATAGTTGTAAAATTCCATTATATCCCATTGCCAAAGAAACATTACAAACTTTGTATAGCTGTATAAAAAGCAACTAATTTTTTAAAGAATAAACATTTTTAAGTCAGCAAACATACTGTGTTATTGCAAAAGTTGATATGCTGAAGAACACTGAATTAGTTGGTTTTTTTTTCTTTAGCAGCTTTTCAGGCTTAAATGTTTGATTTTTATATTTGGACTATAATGAAGATTTGAAAATGTTCTTCCATTACATGAAACTGGATACACTCTTCACTTTTCTCTTGCAAGAATTTGATTTTGTAGTTCCTGGCATATCACAGGATTTGACCAAATTATGGAGGTATTTTCAAATAAGAAGAAAAGAAATTTTCGTATGTCAAAATTTGCAATTAATTTTACTTAATGAGAAATATTAACTTTTTCTAATAATGTACCAGGCACACAAGTCCGTGATTTTCCTGGAATGCCTGGGACAAAAGTATGTCTCCATTTGTCAATTCTTGAAATGTTAACTTTGTTGTAATACCTGTAGACATAAGCAATTTAAGGAATTCTTAGTGTTTGAAGTTGTTTGCATTTTCATAGACCATAGCTTGGAGACAGTAAGACTCTGGTTCTGAGACCGTGAAGTCACAAATGACATAGTATGGACTTTGCCAATTCTGAATGACTAGTTACAACTTTTTGATATGCTGAAATAGAAATCTGGTCATTTGTGTCTGTATATGTATATGAAGGCCACAGGAATAAAGGGATCCAAAGATTAAAACATTTTGATCTAATTTGCTGACTTTTTTGTTTTAAACTTTATCTTAAAAATGTTCAGTGGTGATAAAGATGTGGAAAACTGCACTGTTGGAAGATTGGAATATTTAAAAGTGGTTGATAGAATCTTAATTTTATAACTTTTGTATAGCACTACAAGGAAGTATTTTGTAATTGGTTTCCTTATTAAGGTCAAGTACTTGGCAACCGTAGAAGTTAGATGATACTGTTTAGTAATGTTTTTTGCATGTTAACAACACTGCCTTGGGGATCCACAAATCATGATTCTGAACAACCGTCGAGGCTTTTGACCACCGAGGCGAGTGCTGTACCGTTGCAATAACTCTGTATACTGTATGAGGTGTCCCAGGCTTATTTAAACACGATGAATTGTAAATACCGGGGCTGCGCTGCGGGGCTTGGAGTGGCGGTGGGGGAGGAGGGGGGGTGCTGTGTGCGGGGCGGCAGCAGCGTGGCCTACTTTCAGTGTACCTCGCTCCACGGAAGTGAGGTTTTTTTTCTCTTTTTTTTTTTTTTTTTTTTTTAATTTTATTTTATTTTATTTTAAACCAGAATAAACCGTTCAATAAAAGCAGCCTGCCGGATGTTATTTCGGGGGGCGGGGCGGGGCCTGTGGGGGGCACGCTCCGTGGCGCGCGGGCCAGCCCCGCCCACCCCCACCCGCGGGCGCGCGGCTGGTCACGGGGCTGAGGCGGACGCGAGCGGCCGCTGGGAGGTAAGGGGAGCCTGGGAGGGGCGGGGCCACGGGCTCCCGTCAGCCCTTGCCGCGGGGCGGAGGCGGCGGCGGCGGCGCGATGTCGGTGGCGTTTGTGCCCGAGCGGCTGCGCGGGAAGGCGGAGGTGAACCAGGAGACGCTGCAGCGGGTGAGCGCGGGCCGGAGGGGCCGCCGCGGCGGCCGCGGGCGGCGGCACGGGCCCTCACGGCTCGGCTGAGGTAAAGCCGGCCCCGCCCCGCCCGGCGCGGCCTCGGAGGGGGGGCGGTAGCGGCGTGAGGCGGGCGGTGACGGCGCGCTCCTGTGCCCTAGTTGCTGGAGGAGAACGACCAGCTGATCCGGTGCATCGTGGAGTACCAGAGCAAGGGCCGGGCCACCGACTGCGTGCAGTAAGTGAGCCGCCGGGGGTGCCGGGCAGCGCCGGGCGGGCGCTGCCTCCTCCGAGCCAGTCCGGAACCCTGAGAGCCCCCAAACCCCCGCTCCCCTCCGGCTCTCCGGAGCTTCCCTGTCGTTAGGACGAAAAGGCTGTTGTGCTTCCTAAGGGGCTTCCCGAAAACTGGTTTCGCATATCCGTAAAGCAAAAATGCCACTGTATAGAATAAATCTGATGCCTGCTCCTTTTTGTCAGGGGTTTTAAGGTGAAAACCAACGCTGCTGGGCAGGCTTCTCTCTCTCCCCCACGGTGCGTAAAACACCGAGTGGTATTTACGGAAGAGCGAGGGTAGCCAGCCCGTGGCTCTGCAGCGGTTCAGCTCAGGAGCTTGCGAAGGGCCTGAGCGGCAGCCGGGGGGCAGCGGCTGCCGAGCCTGGGCGCGTCCCGGCCGCCTGTTCAGCCCAGCCCAACAGCGGAGCTTGGTCATCGGCCGCTCGGCTGCTTTCTTGCAGTTCTGCAGCTTTTCAGCGTTGATCACACGAAGATCTTAATGAGCATGTTTACTATTAAAGTTGGTTAGTAGCACGTACTTGATTACAGAGTGCGGTTCAGTGCAGCGTACTGGGCTTTAGAACAAAATATTCAGGTGTTTGCCCTGATTTGCTATGATTTTTTTTCAGTTTGCCATCTCTAATAGCAAATATTGCTCAGATTCCAAAAGGGACTACTGAAATGTAGGTAGTTTGCCAGAAAAGAACACATTTCCCAGAAACTGTTTCTTCCTCTCATAGGTACCAGCATATCCTGCATAGAAACCTCATTTATTTAGCTACAATTGCTGATGCGACGCCTCCCAGCACGCAGAAGACTGTAGACTAACTACGCACACCTGGGCACCAGCAGTGATGCTTTAAGAATCTCTATACATACTTTAGAGTCCCACTTTGAGAGCTGAGGTGTGGTCTTGACAGGCAGGTAAAGCATCATCCATACCTCTATGTTAAAAATATGAATGTAGCTTTTGGTGTAGTATTAGGCTTTTTCCCCATTACTGTAAGCAGAACTTAAGGGTGATGATTACCACGCTCCCTTTTCCTCTCTGAAAAGCTCCACATAGTATACTTCTGAAAAGAGCCTGGTTGCCAGGACAGCACTACCAGAGATGCCTTTGGAGGATTCCTGTGGTCTGATTGAAGCAGAGACTGTTTCATGACTACAGTTGTGTAATAATAGGGCAAGCATTTAGCTAGTTAACCTCTCTACCTCCATCATGACAAAGTCAGTCATACATTACCATATATACAAGAGTGTTTTGTATCTTGTGTCATAGGAATTGTGCTTAATAAACCGAAGATGGTATTTGTAAATTACAGTATATTCTGGATTAATGTAACATATTAAAGTATCAGTTCAGTGATTTAATTAAATTGTAATGTTAACTTTTCTAGGAAAGGTGTGACTCTTGGGTAACTTAGAGCAGTTAAGTACAAGGGAGAAATTGAGCCTTTGTTGCCATGAAGGAAGGCTGTATGTTTGCCCAAGTTGAGTCAAGATTTTTTCTTTCTGCTTGAAACGCCCTGTACTGCAGACTCTGTAAATGAGTAAATTCTTGCATAATCAAAACGGATTCATACGCTTCCTGAATATTTGTCAGCAGCTACAGTCAGCTGCCTGTGTCTTTTTACCCAGAAAGAACACAGCTTACTTGCACACCTCAGTGCATTTCAGCAGCAGGATTAATATAAACTACACTAATAACCTTAATAACAGTTCTGCTGGGGGGGAGAAGGGAGTGAGGTGGGGTGTGATTTGTTGCTCATTACCATCAAAATTATTTACTCGGTGATTGCTAAAAATGTAAGTAACTTGATTTTGGCAATGGGTATCTGCACTACTAGTTCAAAGACACAGCTATGACATTTCCTGTATCATGTTCTTCAGTGCAATCTACTTGAAAAAGTAGCATTCAAGATGCTTCAAATTGTACAGTGCATAAAGTTCATTTTTATATGATGAGTCAGTAAGTAGGCAGTTGACAATTTTTCAAACTGTTAAATAATCCCATGTTAATGAAATAAGATCTTTGTTTACAAACCGAAGTTACAGTTTAAGGTGCTGCTCATTTTCAGCAAGGTGCATATTTTAAACAGGTATGACCTATTAAATGTATATCTTTAATAAAGCAAATAGTTTACTTTTACAGAAGCTTTAAAATACAAAATGTACAGTTCCAGTTCTGAAGCATTAGCTATTCACAAGGAGCACTGCAATAAGGGTAAGTTAACTAAGCACCAAACCCTTGCACTTGGCAGTGTAAGTGAAGTTTAATGGCAAGACTCGTTTGCCAAGTGCAACAATTCTTAAAATTACCAGTGTTCAGAACAATCGGAAGCAAAGGACAGAGTAGCACCCTACGTGGTCAAAATGCAGACAAACTTTCTTTGTTTTCACAATTCACTTATGTAGGTCCAGAAACTTGCCAGCATTTGTAGTTATGAATAAACTGCAAAAACTATAGCAATAATTTTGGCACTTGTTAGAAAAAGTTCAAAATTAAGTGTTCTCATTAACTTCCATTTTGGTCTTCGTATGAATAACCAGTAAGTACAACCAAATTTAGGATTTAATATTAGATCTAAATGACACGATTTAGGAAACTCAAAACCATTCATCAAGTTAAATAACCACTAACATTTTCAGCAGAGGGTTTTCAAAACTATAGTAGTACAGACCATTAACAATTCACAGACAGAAGCCACACTGATTGTGCAAAGCACATTACTGTAAAAAGTCTATGTACAGCAAACAAATCTTTGTAAACATGGTAAGTATGAAGTTTCAGAAAACATGGTGACAATATCATAAATACAGGCAACATTGGCATCCTCAAACAGCACAAAAGGTAACAATCTGGGCCTGCAAATAGAGCCCGTCACCATACAAACAAAAAAGGTGGATGGGTTTGAAATACCCAAATGTTTAATAGTTTTAGTGTTGTGTATACGTTTTATTTATATATATAATGTATTTATTTTTTGGTATCTTTAGATATAGATGTACTTAGTTTGTAAAAACAAAAACAACAAATGTGCTTCATCTTCATTGAAAAATTATGTAGTTAGAACTAATAAACCATTTTGCTAGTAGTTAACATATTAGAATGATATGACTTAAGAAAAATACAAAAATAAGATTAATACTGTCAAAACTCTTATACCAGAAAATATTGTGGTTTTTAGACTCTTTCAAAGATGAAATATGAAAATTTAAATAAGCTCTAACTATATAAAGACTCTTCTGTAATCTCAATTAATATACAGTGGGATAGCTATACATATATTTACCATTGTTCTTCAATTTTTAAGCACCAGTCACTCTCCCGGATCCACTTTGGTTGGAAGATTATTCCTAATTCCACAGGTTCACTCAATGGCACACATTGACTGCAAATATTTACTTTATCCTTTTAAAAAAAATAATGTTCTTTTAACTAACTGCTACCCCACATTTCAGTTTAGTATCTTCTGAGCCAGCTCACAATTTTTAATCAACTGTAGCATCTGAAATAAGACTTTAAATATATGCAAGTAGTCTTTTAGGCTATACTTTCACACATTTAAGGAGCACTGTGTGGATAATGCCTTTGGCCAAATGAAGCAGTAAGAAATGATGTATTTATTTGAAAACCAGTGCCGTATTATCCACACAGATGCCATCTACTTTAAGCAGCTCAGATAACATTTGTGACACAAGGCTGAGTGGTTCTGCTGATCTTAAGAGTAAACTACCACAAAACTCCATTTTGCAACTGCTTCTGCAACAGTCTCACAATGAACTCACTTGTGTGGCACACAAAAAGCTGCTGTTGCACTTCATTTAAAAAAAGCTGCCCACGGGCCATTTACTGGAGAATACAAAGGCTTTACAGCTTGTCCATTATAAAATTAAACACAGTGTTGAGCAAAGGGACCACTATATATTTGCTTCAACATATTCAATGTGTTTCAATAAGATGTTTAACTATAAATCTATATGAAAAATAGCTATAAAATACAGTGTTTCTTATATGGTAGTCCTTCAGCAGTTCTTTTAAAAAAAAGGTTTTGAAAGTAAAGGCAATATACACATTTTTAAAAGCATTTCTACATCACAGTTTTGGGCTGTTTCATGTACATCAAACAAACATATTGGCCATATTTGCTCAACACTGTAAATCAGAATTCAAGAGTTTGTATGTCTCACCCAAACCCCCTCAGTTCCATATTTAATGAGAAAAACAGGATATAGCCAATATACAGTTGTGAAACAAAGTATGTAATTTATGTTTGGCCCTGTGCTGCATTTTCCAATATGAAAAGCAATTAGTACTGATGCAGGTAAGATGGTCTGCGTTCGTGCTTTACTGGAAAAGATTTAAAGCCCTTATTCATCTGTTTGTGCTGGGAAGCCTGCTGTTGTGATTGCTGCTGCTGCGCGTAGGCAAAGTTAGAGGAAATTCCTGCTGCTGGAGCACAGTCGTTGGCTGCTGCCCACATGGGCGGCTGGAGGATCTGCATCGTGTCACTCCACTGGCTGACGGGGCTGCTCATAGGGTACAAAGATGTACTCTGACTGGGTAGCGTGTTCGTGACAGAGGACGTATGCTGCCAGGGTGCCTTTGGAGGCCAGGTTTTGGTTTTGTTATCCTGAGAAAACAAAATTAGTTGGGTTGGCTTTGGGAGGGTGGGGTTTGCTCTTTTGTTTTAATACAAAAACACTTCTTTTTGGAGACAATACTTAACACACTGACTTAAGACATTTTCAAAAGATTAATTTATATTTGAAAGCAGAATTGATGCGCATATATATATATATATAGAGAGAGAGTGCACTCTCAGTTCTTAAAATACCTTCTCATTGAAAACCCTTTGTATTTGCTTCAGCACATTTGCTTGACACCTAGTAGCCCCACTCTAAGTCACAATTTCTAGTGAGACAGGCAATAAATCCAGTGACGCTTTAGTTTTCTCTGCACAGACAATTAAAATTGACTGTTGCTTCTTAGCTTAACTTGAAATCTTTGGTTTTGTGACAATTTCTGCTACAAGGGGAAAAGATAAGTGATTTCCAATTTTAAACTTGGTAACTTTGATAAAAGCATCTAGTCCTGTTTGAATGCAGATGGTTTGTATTTTAGCTGAGGTAAGCAATCTGGAGATGCAGATACTGTTCTAGTTGTTTTCCTAGTGTAAACCACCACAAAATGCAAACAGGAAAGATGACTAAGCAAAGCCATTTTCAGCTTACCTGATTACGGTCTTCTGCTGCAGAAAGGAGAGGTGGTGATGGTAGTGTACTAGGTTCCTGTTCACCACTACTGTGTTTCCTGTCCAAAACAATTAGTGACATTTACTACTTTTTCTTAGGATGAGTCACCCATCTTAATCTGCCACTGGCATATACCATTCTGCAGTTTCAGTCTGTCATACTTGACAGCCTAGAACACGCACTGATGTTTCGTCTTGTTTCATGTATTTTTGCTCAGTAAAAGCAGCAATGCAGAAAGTCATTACTGAATACTGTCGGATGCTTGGCAGTGCAGTAGTTCTTTGCAGCTTGCACACATTTTAGTAGAGGTGAAAGGAAGATGGACTAGTCTTTTGCCCACTTTGAAGAAATCTGCCAGAAATGGCCTTTTCTTCTGTTCTCTGCTCTTTTTTTTTTTTTTCCAAGTATCCTTTCCGAAATAACTTTACAGACAAGAAAAACAGTTGAGCAAGTGAAACATCTGCTGAAGCACAGTGACTCTACTGAGGAAAAATGTTATACATCGGTTTAAACTTGTGATATCAAATAGAGGTCCCTGACCTCTATTTATAAATAAATACGAAATAGTAGTCCTTGACCACATATGCATTATGAAAGGTTTTTTCTTGTTTGGTTTTGTGTGTGTGTGTTTTGGTGGGGTCTTTTTGGAGGGTGGTAGGGTGGGTTTAAATTAAAGCAGAATCTTCTTTCATCCTTCGTTTTATTAAAAAAAAAAAAAAAAAGAAAAAAGAAAAAAGAAAAAATCACCATCAGGCCTCCATAGGTAAGCAGTCCTCTGCAGGTCAGCTTTAGAATGCTCAACCTTTTTGCCTTCTCTTACTATATAGTTTTAGCTAGGTTATTTTGTCAGACCCTCACCCACAGAATGTTTTTCTTCCTAGAAGTAATATAGGGCAGTACTACTGTTACTTCAGCTTCAGTTTTTATTTGATGAAGCACACTTTTTGGAAATTCCCTTCTGCTCTGCTCTTCAGAGCATTACATAAAGCAAACTTTTGTTGTTCTTGCTCCATGAATCACACCATGATCAATCTCTGGATATCTGAGGTCTTGGCAGATTAATTCACCCATTATATGCTTATTGGGGTTCTCTTCGCTACTGCTTTTTTTAAAACCACAAATAATTACTACTTTTTCTGTGACTGCTTATTAGATAGCGCTCTCCCGTTAATTTCCATTTGGTGTTTACTTAAGCTCAATTCCTGTGCCCTCTACACAGTCTTGCTAAGTGTGAAGATTCAGAAAACAGCTCCTCTTTTGGTTGATTCCTTTCAACCTGCTTGCTTTAGTCTCATTATTTTCAACTCCAGTATACATCCTTTCCAGCAATGCATATAAAAATAGCTATCCAGGTAAAATATGCAGGAAATTGGCAATATACCCACTTTTTCCCACCACCAAAAAGCAGACGGACAGTCTTGTATCTAGATGTACCAACTCTGAATTATTCTGTGATCTAAACAAGAACAGAATATTTGGCCATAGAACTAACATTTTTATTTTTAGAGAGGGCTGTGAAAAATAGTTTTAGAGAATGATCCCAGATTGGAATTGGGTTGGTATTCATGCTTCATCTTGTGCCTTTTATTAGTAACTACCCTCTACTATGGAATCGGTGAGGTTCCAAAGATAGCCACCTTCCAGCCCCTTAGAAAAGCAGAAAGCAATTCTCGTAATTCATACTACTACTTTTAAGTGGATTGTTCATAGCTGGAAATCCTGGGTTTGTTTTTAAGTTACTAAGCTTATTTGTGAATGCGATTAAGATTCCTCTTCATATTGTCAGAAAGGAAGGACTAAATAGGCATGTATTTATGACTACTACAATGGTAGTGGTAGGCAAGGTGAGACAAAAGTCTACTCAACATTATCAGCAGTACTTCTTGAGTGCCAAAGTTGCACTAGAAGCCAGGAAACAGGAACTTGGTGACATCAAAATGCACGTTAGGGGCATAACAAAGCTGCTGTGAATTACACAGTTTAGAAAACCAATTCAAAGATGATGTCTAACGCCTCAGTAGTTTACAAAGAAATGTATCCAAAATAGATTATCTTGGAAGAGGGAAAGCATCAGATCTTTTCTAGACATACTGAAAACCAGCTAACAACTGGCTATTTGCATAGATGCTAGTTTGTATAAGGAGACAGCTACTAATGGAACTCTGTTTGGGAATCCCTAGCATTAAAGTCAGATACACTATACAGTGATCCATATTGTCAGTGTAGCACACAAACTGACATTTGTGTAACTTCATCTAATTAGCAGGAATTCTCTTTGTGTGGCTACTCAAATGAAATTATCAAAAAAAAAGAATCTTACGAAGCAGTATGTATTTCTGTTCATTTTGCTCACCTTCTCTGCTTTACAGCAGCAACAAGGTCTGGCCCTGAGAACATGGAGAACAAACTGTCTCCATTAGCTGAGGAGGTCTCATCACTTGAGCTGGCAGAGTCTCCTTGAGTACCAGACCAGCTACTTGTCACATCACTGCAAGACAAAAAGTTGTATTAGTCCTTGTATTTATAGTGCCTGGTCCAGACTATAGGCCCTACTTAGTTAGGCTGAATCATTGCCACATGTGATACCTCAAAGCACAAAGAAAATTCAATACTTCATAAAACGTATCACTAATACATCAACTACTTTGTCTGTTACCATCACTTTATATTTTACTCAAATAATTATATAAATCAAAAGTGTCTCTCTTGGTGAGGAAGGAGAAACAAGTGATGCTCGTTTTTGGAATCTCTAAGCACTTGACTTTTTCATTGCAAAACTGAGCTAGAACACATACTTGTCCTACTAGTATTAAGTTAGCCTGAGTCTCACAGCTATTACATTATGGACAAAGGGGCAGAGGATCTTCGAACACTTCTGTTGTAATCAATAGTTATGACTTGGAAGAGACTAAGAACTGTTAACGTACTTGCTGTCAGGTACCTGTCTTATAGTAGCAACAGTAATTGGCTAAAATCTGCAAAGCTCAATTCAGTCAGGTACTGCAACTTTGATAGCATCACTTTTCATCAAAACTAGGTCTTAAAGGTTTTCAGACTACTGAAAGAAAACCATTCTGAATGAATCTGTGCTATAAATTCATTACTACTTCTGTTTGTGTCAAAGTCGGTATACATTCCACTCTAAAGAAGACAAACGTCATTGCTTCAGGATCAGCAAAGCAGGAAGGGCTCCAACTTCTCACTCTTGACATAACTAAGTGCAGATTTCACAGATGCAGCAGCAAAAAACACCCAGTGTTCCCACATTCTGCCAAGTTTGAGTGTAAAATAGACTCATACACAATAAAAACATGCAGCCTGTCCAAGCTCTTACCCTTCTGTGAAATACTCAGGAAAGGGCCAGGTTTTATGAGGATCATCAGGAAGAGGCCAGTTGCTACGTGTGTTGCTCGGACGACGGACATGCTGTGCTTGCCGTTTTTGTTGCATAGCCTGGTTGACCCCAGCAACATAGCGGGCAAATTCTGGATCAGAGCCAACTGAATAAAAGAAACCAAGAAGTCAGTTGCTGACATTCAGCTATTTCTACTGCAATTATCCCCCTCATTTAATCCTTTAGGCTTGACCAGACCAAAACAGAAAGTAATTCCCTCGCTGATAATAAATGCCAGACAGCAGTTGGTACCTCTCTCTTCATGGAGCAGTGAAGAACAGTGAGTAGGAAATGTTTTAAAGTAGATATGTGCTATCAATACATGGTGGATAATAACTCTCACATACACCGGCCTTGCTTTCCATCAGGGAAATAGTATTTGTCACTACATTCACGTATATACACTGAGAAGTCCAACATCCCATCAGCAGACACTGACAGAATTGAAGCCTGTACATTTATCCAAGCTCAGGAAAAAAAAAGAACATACCAATTATTGTAGTTGATTCCAGATTGCAACATCATTTCCTACTATGCTGTGATCCTGCTTACTTCGAGAAATCAGAATCTCATATTGATCATATTAGAACATACAGCCCAGAAATTGCCTATTTCCTACAAAGGCTAGACAATTTTGAAACCGTTCTGATCCTGACCTGCAAAATATTTCAGAGGAAGATTGATATTTACAGAAAAAAAGCACTAATTCTTTAAAATAAAAATCCTTCCATAATTCTTCAAGTGCTTTAAGTGTCCCAAACATCTGGTAAGTGTTAAGCATGATCTTCAGCTGACACAGCAAAAAACTTAATCCAAAAGTGCTTGAAACACTCAATTGATCAGAGCAAATAATTCATGTATTACAAGTCAGTGTAATTGAGTTTCCACAGCTTCTATTTCTTTTTGCCTTCCCCCACCCTCCTCTTAACAATCTGACTGGATTTACGGAAAATGTCTAGACTACATGCATAGCAACTGCAGCAGGAAGTACAGAGCTTCAACTTGCCTGTCTCAGTTTTAAATTAAGAGTGAAGACTGAAGAACAGCCAACAAGTATGCACAGCTCAGAAAGCAGAAATCAGACTTGATGGCTTCGCTACATTCAATTCAGCATTCAGAAGAAAAGTTTCCTCATTTTCATTTGACACGTTCAGAAAAGAGCTCCACAACGTTTTGTTGCATGCAAGTTAAAACAACAATGAAGAAAATAACTTTATTTCTACACATTCTTTATTATATAAGCAAGGGACAGAGCTATCTGGCAGCAGTACATAAACAAAATTCCCACTAATACTTGTTCTCTGTGAGAAATATCTTTCTGTCAATTTAAGATGAGGCTGGAAGCTAGACTGATCCTCAGATCTAAGGACAGATTCTAGATAGATTCTGAAGGGCGCTGAGTTTTGTTTTGGTTTGGTTTTTTTCCCTGTGGATAGCATCACGTGATAAATTACTGTTATATTCAAAATAGTAACTTGTGTTAATTTTTACCGCAATAAAAACATATCAGGTAAACAGCTTTTTGTTAGGTATGTTTTTGACTTAATTCTTTCACATCTGTGAAAGTAATTCAAAAGACCCGGAGGTATCATCATTCCTTCTACTAGCTCTTACTGCAACATTCTGTCATCAAGTTATTACAGATGATAAAAGTACTGCAAAATACCTTTTTTTTTGTAGCTAGTTAACATCAATGTGTTTGACATGAAAAACCATCGATTTTATAATTCTCAATTAGCATATTTGCATCTGAAGAGACATGATTTTCAAGCTCTAAAAATATCGAAAAAATAATGCCATTTGTTTCAAATGACAAAGGTACGAAGTCCTAAGAAAGTCTGGAAATTAAAGTGTGTTTCATAAAGCTTTCTGTATTACACTAACTAGAGCTTAAATTGACAATTCCTGTATCACAGCTCAACCTGGGAAGTTATATGAAGAAAAGTTAACTTTCCAATGGAAAAATCTATTTAATTGGAAGGTTTTTTTTTGGTTGGTTTTATTTTTTTAAACCCCAGATCTGTGGAAAATACTGTTAACTTATCACTTCAACTTTAGAAACATGTATCTTCATCCACAGAGCACCGTTTATCAACCTGAATAAGTCACCTTTTCAGAGTACTGTTTTAAAAGTCCTTGATGTTCATCATATCAAATGGAACAAAACAAGTAGCTTTATGTAGATCGAAAGGAAAATACTACAGAAATACAATGGATTCAAAATGCTAAAAATGCCACTCCTTTGTAAACATGCATTTTTTCCCCTCCACATACATGTATGTGTTTGGTGCTTGGTGAAAATATTTCTACCTTTCCTTAAAGGTTGTGATAATCCTTAAGTATATACCATAAGTACGTTTAAACTAGATGATGCTAATTCAGACTTACGATTGTTAAGAAGCTTTTGTTAACATAACTATGATGCCTATTTTTGCCTTATAAACTCCACTAATTTATCAACTAAGTTGACAAAATAACTATAAAAATTATGAGTCAAATGAGCTGGTTTCTGAGATGCCTACACAGTCCTAACACACACACACAGGCAAATGAGCATGAGAAACCAATTCATAGTTTGATAAAAGGTTTTCCTGTTACTTCTAGTGCTGCCTCCCTCCAGGCAGTTTTCATAAATGCATAGTACAAAGTTTCTGTAGCTATGTACCAGACCAACAGAAGTTATATTTACAAGATAATAGATTTGTAAATTCTTCTTAGTACTATTATCAGAAGACTTCATCACTCTCAGACTCTAGAGTCAATTTCATAGTCTTTAGCTATTTGCTTATGGCTATAAAATTGTATCTCATTTCATCTTTGACAAAAATCCCTCTACATTTACAATTTATTGGCGATTCAAACACATCTGGCAAACCACACGGCACTTGCCCTTTAGTCTCTAATCCTTCAGCATCCAAGCTTTTCACCACAGTAACAGCCACAGAACACAAACCGGTATGACTCCCATGGAATCACACAGTAACGAAAGGGAAATGCAGGGATAAGGGAAAGCTGCAATCCACCTGTATCTCCAGACTGCAAGACTAGTAAAGAGCAGGAAGGATCATTCTGGGGAGAGATAGCATAAATTCAAGAGTTTGGTTTTAAACAATTTTATAAGTTAACAATAGGAGGAACATCATCTCTAAGTACCTCTTTCAGTACTTTGATGTAGTCCATATAGGAAAGGTCAGAACTACTACAGCTGGGTCTAGGAACAAATTCCTTGTTTCCTTTCTTATTTATTAATCCAAGTTCTTGTACTTTAGTTCCCCTTCTGTTAAAAAGGGAAAAAAGGCATACATATAGATACCTTCATGCCTTTGTAAGCACTCTAGCATCTGGTGGATAGCACTAGGAAATGACAATTACCGCTAGCAATATTTAACAGTATTCTTTGTAAAAGGACCCTTATAAAAACATAATAAAGGAAAAGACACACACCTGCAGGGTCAAAAGGCAGGATTTCTCCCAACATCCCAAACACTCCATCAGTTTGGTCACGATTTGGCCACGTGTTGTTTCTAGGTCCTTGTGGTTTCTGTCCTAACATCTCTGACATCATATTGTCCATATAGCTGCTCACAAGACCCAGGCTGTACAGATCAGAGCTTAAATCTGAAAAACCAGGATTATTCCACTGGTTTATATGAGACAATCCAGCTCCAACAGCTTGGGCTGGCTGCTGTGAAGAATTAGTCAGCCATTTGGCAGGTACACGTTGCTGTGGTCCAATAGGTTGAAGCAAGTGTTGGTAATACTGCATTTGCTGCTGCTGCTGCTGCTTTTGTGACTGTTGTTGCTGCGACAAGCCTTGCTGAGAAGGATGCAGTGGTGTGAGAGAGACAGACTGCGGTTGCTGTTGTACTGTTCCTGATTTTTGTTCTGTTGCTGTAGAGGACGCAACAGAGTTCCTTCTTTTCACCATCGGAGAAGTCTGCTGGGATTTACCCATGTTAAAACCAGACAAGAAATCTATAACATCCTGCATTTCTTGGTCAGTTGGTAAATTCATACCTTTGTCATCTTTGCCATCATCCGGTTTGAAGAAGTTGTCCCGTCTTTCGACTAGAAACCCGTTCACTAGCTGATTATTTGTGCTCTGAATTGACTGCAGGGGATCTGCAGTCCTAGGAAAATTACCAATGTTCAAAATGCTTTGTAACCGTGCATCTATGTTAGTGGGCATTTTAGCTTTCTCCTCTGAATTGGAACTTATGAAGACATTTTTGGAAGGTGTACTGGGGATTGAATAACTTCCAGTATTACTTGTACTGGTGCAGGAAGTTTTTTTTGTAAACCGTGAAGTCAGTTTTGAGAACGTCTTTTGTAGACCACCTGAAGATTTGCTTCCATTTCCGGATGGCATGTCAACTTGATTCCCAAAGTCTGAGATTTCACGCTGTAACTGGATCTGAATACAAGGCAAAGCTTGCTCCCTGCATCAACAAAAACATGTTTACCAAACCACCTAATACATAACTGAGTTTATACTTTGGAGAAAAATGTGTATTTGGGTAATATCTGGTGGAAGAAATAAAACCAAAGATTGCTAAATTCATCAGCTACTTCTTATGGTCTCAATGCAAATTATTACTAGTACTTGCAATAGCATTAACTACTTCCTGTTCCTTAAGAAATTTCAGTTGTACTTCAAGACCTAAATGGAGACTAATTTAATGTAAATCAAGTATTTCTGTAAGAGAAACACACTTTTGAACACTTGGATAAGGTGCTGGTTTGGTTTTAAATAGACTGATACATCTCTGTATGTACGCACAAGGTACACTACCAACTTCTTGCTGTCAGTTTGACTACTGCTTTCCCCTTCTGATGAACCAGTACTATCAAATTCCTCAGTACAGATCTTTCAACAATGATGGCTGTGTTTAAACTAGACAAGTAGAGCATGAGGCTCAAGATACATACCTTCCTTCTTTCCACCTGTGTATGTCAAACACAGCAGTATAGAGCACATCTACTAGTCCCAAAGTCTTCTCTGGATCCAGACTCCTCTGTAGCAAAGACATTGTTGCTGGATCTTCTTTCAGACACCTGTAATCATTAAATTTAACTTAAAAAACCCCAATATATTTAATTTTTACAGTGAACAATTTTACCATACTACTCAGATAATAAAAGGCCAATTGACACACTACTACTGCTCCTACAGAGGTGCCACTAGTAAAGACAGCATAATGTATGAATGTCTAAGGGTTCCTGAAGACCATGCCTGCAGCCCCAGTTTCCTTTTACTGTTGGATATACAACTAATCTAACTGTAAAATTAAGAGTTGCATAATTTATTTTAAAATCACAATTAATCATCAGCTCTTTAGCTGAGCAGGCAAAATTCAGGCACAGGGGTAAGAAATAAATACACACAGCCCGTTTCTGGAAAATGGCAAGAGCACTGAACAGATCTGACACAAGACACCGGTGCACTCTGGAGTCCACGGCCAAGAACCCCCAGCCTGACAGACTCGTGGAAAATGACTCTGCGTATCCAACAGTCTGGGGGAGATTCTACTGAGCTGTGAAGATTTAGGGCTAGTGCATTTTCCTCATTCATGGCACGGAATTAGGACTGAATTTGAGGTGAAATCAGAATAACTTAAATCTAAATATTAGCACATTTGTCAAGTACCTAATGAGCCCCTCCAGCAGACAAGTAAAGAGGCACTGTCACTGTGTGTCAGCAGGCGGAGCTCTTCCAGAGCTCACAAAGCCCGGCTCAAAACACTGCATTATTTTAGTTCTTTCATAATAGAGCAATTTACATAAAGAGAACAGAGAAGTGCCAGTTTATACTCTATAGAGGGATTAAAGATGTATTTGCGTAAACAGACTATCAGTTGACTCGTACTTCTGGACATACGGTTGGTACCATTAGTAACAGGCTATCTCACTAAGGGCTCGGATGAATGAACCATGTTGGACTGAAATTCGTAACACTGAATACTCTGACGTAAGAGGGAAAGGAAGTATTCTAACTCCAAATGTTTGTTTCAAAAGGGAAGAAATCCTCACCTAAACTGCAGATTAATCCTACCATTCTTTCCTAGGCAGCCAACTAAACTGGTAGGAACAGCGTCTCGTGGATCACAGAGTTCTGCAGTTCGTGACGGCACTGAACAACAGCTCAGTGAAGAAAGAGCTAAAGCTCTCCTATTAACCTCATCTAATTCCTGGCCTTCCTGAGGTAACAGCTGTGAGGACCTGTCAGGGAGGAGCATAACAGGAAAACTACTGGATTTTAAGTTTTTTTTTTTTTCAAACTTTCTCTTTCAGCATCAAACTTTTTCTTTAAAGGCATATTTTAGGGCAGCAGCACTACCTCTCCTCCATTGCCTCCAGAGGCAGCACTAGTACAATGACAGCTAAAGAACAACTATCAGTCTGTCAGGAAGGGTGGTATTCAAACAGTTCCAGATAAAGAAAATCAAGGAAAATAAGCCATGATTGCATCATATTCTCTCTTCCATTTGTACTGCAATATTCTTCCCTACATATTTCAGTCACAGCTGTTAGTATAATTTGCAACACAGAACTTCTACTTACCAAGTTGACGGAACTTGCACCACAATTCTGGATCCTTCTAAACTTATCTGAGGAGCATAAGCTTCTTTATTTTCAATCTGTGCTGTGTCCACAACCACCTAGCAAATAAAGGGAAAATAAAAGGGAAATAATTTTGATAATTACTTCTAGTTATCACCCCTGTAGTTAAGATGCAGTAGTCTCACCTCCCTACCACGGTACAGGTGCAAAAAATAACTGGATAAAAACAAATCAACTCACAAAATCATTATAAGTTGATTTCTATTTTAATATTAAAAAACTATAAAATTTTTAGTTTGATACAGTAACCTGTATTTCAAGTACTTAATTCTTCTCAATTATATACTGTGGTTATGCATCACTACATAGTTACCAACTGCTTTACCTAAGAGCTGCTAACTATCAATGGCTTTGTGTTACAGGCTTTACATTGGACAGGTTTGGCACTGTTACTTCTTCAATAGCTCCCAAGCACCTATTTATCAAAATACTTTAAGTTATTTAACAGCAGTGCATGGTACAATATAGACAAGTAGTATTTAGTCGGAAACTCTTCACACAGCTCACAATTCTTGAGACCCCTCCCCCTCCTTTTAAGGTTATAAAATCCCACACCTACATTTGTCTATTCTACCTAATGGAACTGTACTATTATTAATTTTCTATTCTATGAAGAGAAGAAAAGTAATTGTTCAATTTGTTGAATTCTGAGCCTTCCATAAGGCATCATGAGGATAGATGGAAGATGAAAGTCTTGAAAATTAACCTTCTGTCATGAACCTTTCTTTTTATGGAATTGAGAAAGAATGGATTCACTTTGGCTTTATTTAAACTTTAATAGCAGTGATAGTAAGCTCCATATTTGGTTCGTGCTTTCTGTTGTTGTCCAGTCTGCATGTGCTGGCCTTTTTGATCATTTCCATAATTTCCTATTTTGGTCATGCTGAACCAGCAGCTTTTTGGCAGCAGTCAGCAATTCTTGCTTCAGTGACTAGCAGATTAGCTGTACCATTTATCCTTGAAATGGCAGAAGTCCTCCAGTATAAATAAGCCTCAAAGGGTATTACTGGCTTTTTTGCAATCATCTTACCCTGGTTATACTTCTAACTGATTGCCTACTAGTGGTTATGAAGTAATGTGAAATATGAATATGGCTGAGAGTCTCTTCTCTCTCGTGCATTAACAAAACTATCCAGTGACATTTGAACACAACTATTTCCCACCTTTTAGGTATTTCAGCGTAAGACTTCATCTTCCTCCAGTTGAGTTTATTCAAACTTGTAGAACATGTCTAAGCACAGTGACAAAACACCATGCTATTATCCACTCATGAAAATACCTCTCATTTAATAACAGGGCAACTCCATTACTTTTTTCCTTTTATTTGTTCCATTTTAATTTTACATAATTTGGTAATCTGCAATTCAGCTATATTGCAATTATAATCAGCATAAGGAGAGATGAACTGACGAGTGATTCTTCTCAACTCCAAAGAAAAATACTGTCTGCATTTCAGACCTGTAAGTCAGAACTCAGATTCTGATTTGTGCAGACCTAGATCTCGTCTTGAGTACTGCACGGTAGTGCTCATGGTCTGGGCTTTGTTGGGGGTGTTTCCCTCCTCCCCCACACCTTCTTCCCTTTCAAAAAAGTTCTACATTTCTCAACATTCGGTCAGAGTTACAACATATGAGATTTAAATATTACCAGCAGATTTAGTCTTCTGCAATGCTTTTTGCTGCAGAAACATCTACTAGCAGAAAAAAAGTGTGGCGAGAGACTTGGTTAAACCTTCTCTTAATGACTTTGCATGAGGCCAATTCCAAGTTTTATTTCCACTCATCCTCTGAATTAGATTATTTTAATACACATCACTTGTATTCAAGTGTAGAGATTTCTTCAGCTGACCCAAACCTGAAAATGCAATTCTTTATATATTAAGATAAAAACTGAAAAACTGCCCTTTCAAAAGTTATTTCTTATGTTAAAAAACTGAAGCCTAAAATAACCAAGAAAACTAAGTCACATCTCACTGTGATTTCCACTCTTAATGAGTTTCTTCTGAAAAGGCACATGGCAAGACAAGCTAAAGATAGTGAGACTGTCAAGTAATGTTCTTATTTAAATGCCAAATTTAAAAAACAAATTTACACACAATTCTGAACTGGTGCAGACAGCTTAGTTTCTAAAAGCAGTAAACCAAAGAGTACGTAATATTGTCCCATGATTCATTTATCCGAGTTCTACACAAAATAGATTTGAAGTAAACACATTCTCCCTCCTCGCCTGGTGAGTGCTTAGAGGATAGCTTCCTGTGCATCAGACATCTATTGTTCTTGTTTTACAGGTGTTTCCTCTCTCATCTCCACCCAAAGAATGCTTTAAAGAAGCAAATTACAATTTCTCATCATTGCATGGGGCTACATACAAGCATAATTGCATCTTGTAAAAAAACTGTAGCACAGAGTTTAAAGACAAACCTCAACTCTCACACCCTTCCAAATTATAACAAATCAAAGTGAGAATGAAGGAAAGAAAGACGGCTCGCAAATATTTTGTCATGTGTACAGCTCATTACCGTGTCTTTGAAGATAGAAACCTGCTACTTGCAGAACCTGAGGTTGATGCAAAAATCTTTGGAGACATTTGTGATTCAACTCCAGTAATATTCCTTGTATCAACATTGTCATTTGGGAGAATGTATAAGTAAGTTTTATGCTGACAACTCTCCAAATGTTATGATAAACCTGAAGAATATCAGCGCTTTAAATACCAGCAGGTCTAACTAGTTATGTCTAGACTGGGGGACACCAGGAGATTTCCAGGCTTTTGAGTCCTAATGTTCCCCAGGCCACTCCTCAAATCTCATCAGGGCAGGACTTGGGTGTGCACAACCCTGAAACCCTCTGGAAAGGAAATGGTGGGAGGTGCAGCATCCTCCAAGGCATTCCTCATCTAGACAGTCCGGAGCCAGGAACCCCCTACCGAGTTACAGCACACTCCCATAGGGCTGCTGAGAAACAGTTTCTTTCCTGGCCTCCTTTCCTGTACTTGACTGCTGACTCCCAGCATCCTACCATGAACTATGGCAGGTAAAGACACAATCCCACTTGATCATATCCTTTTTTCTACTTCTTGTACTTACTAATATTTAATAAATATTTTCCTAGAAAATACTTAAGTATAAATTTCATCAATCCTACTATTCCACAGTTGCTTTCTCTCCCTCCAAAGATACCACCTTCTTATGCCTCCCTGTAAAACTTCCTTACATTAAGTGGTTAATGCACTACCATATCCTCTTCTGAAATCCCTGTATCACAGCAAAGCAAGGCTTGATAGCAGGTGCACTGCTGTTATGATACTGATGGTCTGTCCCTTTGATTTTAGACCTTCTTTACATGAAAAGACAGTTGAATTCCATTACAATTTGAACCTACTTCTCTAGCAGATACTTAAAGGAATATTTAATATCTAGTATCAAAGGAAAGCTAAAGTAGAAATATCTGACAAATTTATTATTTAGAATTTATCATTCACCATTATTGAAGAACCTATTAATGATGCCAAAAATATATAGTTTAATGAACTAGGATGGAAGGTCAAAGTCACTTAATCAGCTGTGCGATTTGTTTGAAAAAATGTGATATTTACAAAGTGTATAACAATATGGACACTTTCATCAGAAATTACAATTAGTTACAAAGTCCTGATGGTCTGCCATCACCTTGAACAAATAATCAGTATATGAATCAACAAGGAGCATCTAGCTCATTGCAGGTTAAAGATGATACAGAGTACTTGACAGAGACTATCGTAGGCTACATTGTACCAGTCAACTGAAAACTCAGCAGTCCAAAAAACCTGTGTGTCATGAGTGAACACTTCATTAAATGAAGAGATTGCAGTAATTAGTTATGGGAGCATAAATGCATTTTCTTATCAGAGCATGTTCCAAGCATCTATTTTTAGCAACTGTTTAGATACTGTAAAATCCATGGGATTTGTTTCTAAATATGTACGTCTACAGCAAGGTATTTAATTGCTCGGTCCTCTGTTGGAGACGTCAGGTAGCATTACTTGGTGCCAGGAACTTCCTGGTTTATGTTGGGCAGGAAACCCAGCTTCCACTCAAAGCAGAGAGGAAGTGAAGATGGCAGTTTTTAAAGTGAATCAGAGAAGCTGGGGGGGGGGCGGGGGGAGGTGTGTTTCTTTCTAATATGGTCATCTATAGATTTGAAAATCTTTATTTCACTATGAATTTGAAGTTTGATTTCTTATGTTCTCTCTATTAAGAGACAATGAAGTACACAGTACATTCTCCTGATGCCATCTACAAGTGTGCATTCTACAAGGATACATTTTGCTTATAAATCAAGTTAGATGCAGCATTAAAAAGGAGAAACACAAAGTAAGACACTGGAAATGAATTTCCAAACTCTTTCAAATATCTAGTTTCTCTTTGGGATGTTGAAGTAGCCCTGTTTTTGTTAAACCTATTCATAGTCACTTACCAGTCCAGCTTGGCCAAATAACAATTGTACAGCAGTTTTGCAGGCTCCTCGCCAAGTGGAAGGGCAAACTTGATTTAGTACTTCAGTAACAGGAGAGTCATCCCGTGGTGTAAGTCCATTATGGCATCCAGCTTCCTTAATCAACTGCAGCATTGTGTGCTGAAAAGAAATCATAAAAACACTGTCATACTAAACACACTATTCAGAAATGTTAACACCAATGCTTCCACATGTATTTATCATTGTTCTACACTTTTCAAACAACTATTATGTCTGTTACCTCTGAACAGTCTTGTATAACTAGAAGAGATCAGCTGCAGAACAGAAATATGGAAGACCATCTCTGCTATTTGGAACACAATACTCCTCCAAAATCATAAACAGTATTTTTGCTTTTATTCTTGCAAAATGGTTTAATCAAAACTACAAAAAGCACTGCAAAGACAACAGAAAAGCAGCATTTTGAGCTGTGGATTGTTTCAACTCTTTCAGGATCAAGGAACAGGGTTTATTTCAAAAAAAGTGAAAATACTGATTAGAACTGCCCAAATCGCTTCTGAATGGACATCTTTTCCATTCCTTTATACTGAAAATAAAATTAACTTCTCCACAATTTTAAATTTTTTTTAGAAACTGATTAAAGTTAAGACATTAAAAGGACAAAATAACATATATTATTTTCAAGTAACTCCCTTAGCACTAGGCTAGGCCAGACTTACTTTGGCACCTAAGATGATAAAGTCTCTGAAGAGAGTCACCTGGTTGGGGCCTCTGTAATGGCTCACTCTCCTCTGCACTTCTTTGTACCTAACTCACCTATTTTCAAAAAGTTCATAGAAGCTTCATTATCTCCTAGACTTCCATGCTTCTCTCAGATCGAACTGAATTTGTCCAGGTGGTTAAAACATTATCAGAAGCAGACAGGCATGGATCTACAGTGTTATCAACATCTTGTTTCCACAGGAAGTCAGGCTAAAAATACGCACTTTTAAATAAGAGTTTGGCACTGAACTTCTACTGCAGTTGTTCTTTGAATTTTAAGGAGTTCTAATATTTTTTTTTTCCTTCACTCTTGTGGTTAGATTCAGGGTTATTACCGTTTTCAGCTTCAGGTTTTCTGCTGCAGACTCATTAAAGGATATTCCTTTCAGAAAATGCGATCCTATCTGAACAGGTACAGTGGGCAATTCACACTGAATTGGCTGAGGTGGAGTCTGTCTCCTTCCTGTTTGCTGAGCTTCAGCTTCACTGCAACAGCCCTGAAATATAAAAGAACAGATCAATTAGAAAAAATGAATCCATTAGAAAATCCTAATGAGTCCAATTTCTTTTTTTTTTTTAATATTTTCAAGGTGGGGAGGGATGAAGGAGAGCAGGTTTAGCAGATCTTACCTGCAGACTTGCTTCAATAGCTTTTGGGTTCAAGTGGAAGCCAGCCTTCATTGCATATTCACAATGGCCTAAACTCTCCAAAGCAACTTTGTAAGCCTGACATGAAACAAAAAGTTGAGATGCAACAGGCATATCAGCAAGTAAGCAAGCATGCAGTAGGCATGTCTAGATACTTATGTAAGAACTGTTACATGGATTTACTTTACCCTGCTCAGTTCTACGGCACACACACATTTATCATGTAAGATTCCAATACTGTAATTTTCAAATACCTCATGGCTGCCTGTGGTACATATTTCTGCAGTAATACACTCCTACCCTATTTCAGTCCTTGGCCCACTGACTGTACTACATGCACACGAAAGCAGACTTTAAAAACTCACCTGCAAAGCACTGTCAATTTTCATGTTTAGCTCTTTGAGCTGATGTTCAGGGATTGCCACACTCTGTGAGCAGAAAAGTTGCTGAACTTCAATTCCTGCCAAGCATCCATCACAGCCTCTTTCTCGCAGTCGAGATGTGGCCTGTAATATAAAATAAAAATCCAGGGTAGAGAGGGTCAACATTAAAGCGGGACAAGCTTAATTAAATTTAAAAGAAGAGCAAAACCACCCCACAGTTTAAAACATTATAAAGGTGATGAGAAGCAGCAGCTGGTGGAAAGGATCTGGAGGAGATTGTTTATTGTAACTTATTAAACCTCTACTGCTACTTTGAAAGTACAAATCTCACTTAATTTATATGGCATATAGGTGTTGGCTAGCAACTTAATTCAACATTGTTTGTTGTTACTATTTCAGCTCCCTCTCAGGATGAAGGATCCTGTTACACAGGCCACATCGTGACTGTGGTTACCAGAGGAAGGACTTAAAACTTCAACATAAAAGGTATTACTTGCCACAGAAACAGAAGATAAATTTAATAATGTGTCCAAACACTACTGTGTACATAAGAAGATATGTTTTATAAAATTAAGGGTGATTGCTGTGGTGCAATTTGAAGAGAGCCACACAAGGCTAAGTTCAACGTAGCACAGCAAGAGAATAGTTTTATGTAATACGACTTTGAAAAATAGGAAATATGAAAAGCCAAATATCTACTTTTAACTGTAAAATACTACACTACTGAGCAGGGTAAAACCAAACAGAAACCTATTCTCAACTGCATTTAAGGCCTCAGATAGGGCTTATTTTTCAGTCTAGGAAGGAGTCTTGCTCTAAAGCAGGATGTCCAAACCGGGGGATTTTTGGTACAATGTCAATGGACAGATACATTGCTCACCCCATCTTCACAAAATTACAGCATTTTCCAAGTGAAAGTCTTAAAAAGGAAAAATAGTTTTGAGCTAGTGACAAAGTATCATCTTAAACTTTATTCTGAAACAGCAGTGTATTCTCCTGCCAAAGAGGCTAATTTTATATGGATTGCCTTCCACTCCACAAAGTAAAAATTTGGGACGATTTCAGTATTTCAAGTCTCCCTTCTATCAAAATGACTTGCATATTAGTCTATCTACAGTTATAAGGAAGATAAAGTTTTTATTTATTTAGGGAGCACAGATTTTTCTTATGCTATCCTAAAACCTCACATAAATACTTCAGATCAGTTGTTTTAGACAATCATAAAAATTGAGATCTGTCCTCTATTGTGATTCTGAAACTACAGAGAACCTGTATTTTTCTTATCTCCTCCCCATGTATGTTTAATAAAGGATTTGATTAGTCTAATACTTGTATTAAACTCTATTTTCAAACAGAGGTTTTATTAACAGACATAGCTGAAGTGGACTGTTAAGGAAGTAAAAAATAAAGTTAAGGTCCCGGATTCTGCAAACCCAAATTTAATTTTAACCACATTTTAAACAACCTTGATAACAATTGCAGGCATTTCTAGAAATTGTAACACAGTTTTAAGAAACTAAGTATATTAAACATCAAATTAACTGTTTATGCAAAAGGAGTAAAGCTAGACCAGGATTAGACCTGTTATGATTACCTGTAATACACCTAATGCATTCCCACATCCCTATTTTATCCAGTGAAAGAAATTTATGCTGCAGTAAAAACGACAAATAATTCCTCTGCATTCATAATTCTAAAGGAAACTTATTTGCTTTCGTATACCTTCCAGATGTTAGTTGATAAATGGAAACTTTGACAAGATTTCCAGTCAAGATGATTAATGTGCCTCTGTGGGCTGCCAAATTAGACTTCAAAAGTACATGCTCCAAGTTACTTGAATTTAAGGAAACCATGCACTCTGTGTCTGAATCCATTTTGACCTATCAGTCTGCAGACTTCAATAGTGCAAGGGAAAGCAGAAAAGCTCATAAAACTGTTTGTCTTTGTAAAGTACTTTTTCATCAGTAAGATAAGGATGCCACAGACAGCAAGTGTTTGTGAAAATACAAGTCCAGAGAGTAATACACTTCAGTAATAAAATTAACATTCCAACAACTGATGGATCAAGCACCATCAGGCTTAACAGCATAAAGACAGAAGTATTCAAAGTCACTGTGAAGATTTTCAAGTATAAAATAGAATTCATACTCAAAATGTAAGAAATAGACATTACAGAAATTATTTTTCATTAAGATTTTGCTCTGATTTTCAACAACTTGTTGTATGTTGGGTATATTTTAAAATTTGCTGTCTGTCAAACCACTTTTGAACATTGCTAATTCATTACTAATAACAAAAAAACCTGTTTCCACTGTTTGTGCACTCCTTATGTAAAATCATATCACAAAGAAAGCTTTATACAGGGCTAAGATAGTATAACCACCATATAGGTAAAACAAGTTTTAGCATCTGAAACTAACTGCACCACGTTCTCCCCTTCAAACATAGCATGTCTTTAAAATCAGGTATTTTCTTCCTTTATCAGGGCATCCAGTCTGAATTAAGGTTTCACTACACATAACTGTCATTTTGCTAAATATAATGTCACTACAACGAAACCTCCGTACCTCTGCTGCTCCTCTCCATGATCTTATTGCATCTTCTAGCTCATTTGTAGGGCTTAAATTTGAGGCTCCAGCTCCACTAACATTCTTTCTCTCCTGAGCTACAGCTTCAGCAAAGCAAGAGTGTGCCACTGGCTGCACCTTTTGCAAAGCTTGTGACAGGAACTGAAAGTGGACCTGCATCACCGTCAAGAAACATCGCCCAAGTACCTGCAGGAGAAGAAACAAACCAGTTTCAAGCAAATAGAAGACTGCACAGAAGTTTCCCTCCTTCCGTTTCGTTCAGTGTTTGGGGTAAGGAACTAAGTTAAACTCAGATCTCTTTTTATTAAGATAACACTTCAGTTACCACATGGTATTTAATCTTTCACTTAAAATAAGGTAAACAGTGACTGAGCAACAGTTTCTATGAATTAAGGGGAGATCAGACTGATCCAACATCATTTTTACTTCTGCATGAAGTTCTGGTTATTTGAAGAATGAAAAGCTTGCTAAGTTACTTATCAGTATCAAGTACATGAAGCAATACAAGATGGGAGTAGCATATTATCACAGAGACAAAGTCAACAGCAAAACCTACTTGTGCCAAGACCTAGCTGAATTTATGCTAAAAACCCAAACCAAAAATCTGAATCATTTTAAAGCATTATCATAAAGATCCAAAAAGTTTAATCCAGTTTATCTTCCAAGCAGAGCAATAACTGGTAAAAAGCATTGAAAACATTCTGCCACATAATACAGTGGCAACTCAGTGCCATTTTTAGAATATAAGTGACTGCAGACTGCATGCACAAAGTTGCAGCCCTGTCACTTGCATTGTCTGACAGGAACTGCTACCGTGGCACTAATCTTCTCTTCAGAACATTTCACTGAAATGGGTCATGTAACACTTGGAAAGTCTGAGGAAAGGCAGGGAAGAGAAGGGCTGCTGGGCCCTCCCCGTACATGCTGGGGGCAGCACCAGCATCACACCAGGGAAGGGGTGCCCACCTCTGCCAGCCGAGCTGGGCTCCGCGGCCTGGACCTCTGTCCCCTGGAAGGTCCCATCCCCCATTTAGCTCCCTCTCTCATACTAATGCTAATAAGAACTATGACCAAAGACAGATATATGCCTCGCTTACTGCAAGCAAAACAAAACAGGTCACACAAACTGATTATTTAGGTGCAGCCACCACATGTGGAAACACAGACAGGAGTGCAACCATCCCGAAGGACAACCTGGAGAGTGAAGCCGCACGCGCAGGTGTGCTCCATCCACCTTCAGGGCCACTCTCTCCTAAGCAGATGGAAGCTTACAACAAAGCATAACTAGAATGCAGCAGAGAAGCAAGTATTTTCCAAATTACTGTCAAAAGCATTTAAAAACTATTCAAAGTGTTTTGTTTCTTTTATGGAGTTTGTCACACAAAGTGGTTTAAAATGTACATTTGACCTTGATTTATTAAAAAAGACTCAACTTGAATTCCATTTTAGGAATAATTCATAAAATACACAGATAATGTACAAAGCCATCATGCCTCGAAGCGAATAAATCATCTGGCTTATTTTCAGCTACATTCTTCTGGAATAAAAATATTCAGACACAATGATTTTACTGGCAAGACTCTGTAGTCACACGAACAGTTATATGCATTAACTATCTACTTCAGAAGAACCAGTGGTGGCAATGCTTTTTTCCATTGCATCCGGACTCCTTTTGACATTCCATTCTGATTCAATCACTTCCCTTCTTTGTACAAGGCATAAAATTAAACATTTTTGGTACTCTGACTGACCTCTGAAAGTGGCGTTTGCCTTATTATAAAAAAGCAGTCAGCAAATGATAAAATGAATAAAACTCCCAATTTTCCTGGCTACAAGACTAGAAAGATTTATAAGAAAACTGCAGGAAAGGGCAACTGGTGATCTGAATATTTCTGTGTACGAACAATGCAGTTCTCAGGGGAAGAAGAAACTAGGACTCACCAGGAATTTCAAGCCGATTAAGTTTCAGAGAATATTTAAGGTACAGAGGTTGAAGTTTCCCCTGCCTGGGAATAATGCTCAAAATAAACAAATTATTTAGTTTTTAAGTGGCAGCACACAACATTCCTAGTATAATTTACAATGTTAAACAGCAAAGATAAATAGTAACATCTGCTTTACTGAACTTCTATTTTCTTTGAAAAATAATCTATTTCAGTCCTCCTCAGAAATGGGTAAGGATGGTTTTAACTGCTTAAAATGAAATCCAAGTGGTGGAGGATTTTTGCACTGTTAAACACTCACTGCAGATGCCAAAGTCACTTTGCTTTAAAGTTCACTTCTTGAGGATTTTCTTCCAAAGAGCTGAAACTCTTTCTTAACTGTGTCAAAGAAGTACGACTGCCACCAGTTTGGCAAACAGAACCAGGGTTGACCAGCAGTTACTGAAGCATGTAAAGCAATATACTAAATCTCTGTTGCAAAATCTGCAGAACAATACTATCATATGGATGAGGTTTTTTCACAGAGCACCACCACCTGTTTTTCAAATTTATTTTTTTCTACTTTCCCATGCAGGAATGTTTGACACTCCTGCTTTAGCCCACAGTAAGAACAAACTAAAACCTAGAGACTATGTAGTAATCAAAGATGAACTGGAATCATCACAAGTGTCAACTAGTAAGTTTTTCTTGGTAGTAGCAGTGTTTTCTTAAACTATGTCTTAGAATCAATTATATTGCACATACGATGAGGTCTTCAGCTTGCAGACTTTTTGTCCTGATACATATAGCTCTAGAACCCCGATTTTCCTAACCCATTACCAGGTAGGACAGCTATCCACCTCAGCACCTGAATAACTTCACCTAAATGAATCTCTCTTCCTGTTCAGGCAAATTGGACTTTTTGAGGAAGCCTCACTTCAAACTTCCTTGTCTCTGCAGCAGGTGATGAGTTTAATCAAACTGGTTACATACAAACAGGAGCATCAGGTGGAGATACAGTGTTAGATTACTCTGTCCTGTATTATCCTCTTAATGGGAGCACACAATCAACTTGGGAATATTTTGCTGGACAATATGCACACATAAAATTGACAGATTTCATTGCTGAACAGTGGTGCCATGCAATATCCTGGGAAAACAAATATTTTACAACAGATTCTTTAAAACAGAAGGCTACTACTAATAAAGTTAGCAAATAACCTTGAAAGTCTTTCAAACTTGATGCAAACACTGACCTGCAGTTCCAACTGCAATTTTATGTAGCAGAATTTTTCTTCTTTTTCTACCTTTTTTTTTGTTGTTGTTATTATTTCCCTAAACAAACAAAACACTCAAAAAAAACCAAAACCCAAAACACAACAACACACTTATTCAGTGGTTTTCTACTACTCACATTTCCCTTAGAGTTCTTAATGATTTTGGTAACAGTAAACCCTGTGTATAACCTGTCTACTCACCAAAGAGACCAGATTAAAATAGAAATATAATGAAGTTAATGAGGTATGATTCAAACTGGTGTACCAGATCATGAGATAATACCCTTTCTCACATATTACTGAAAGTGAGCAGAATATTACTCATTTTTATTACGTAGCAATGCCCTGCAGTTTGAAAAAGTCATCTCGTGACCAAAACACCTCCAAGGAAAGACACAATCCTGCTTATTGAAAAAAAGAGTTACCTGCAAGATAAACTAGACTCTATCAGAAGTTGCACCTTTACATCTACAGTATTATGGGACATGGGCAACCTAACAGACTCATTTCTGCTAACAAGCAGCCTAAAAACCCAGTAGTGATAATCTGATACTGACAGCTACTAAAATGCTAACTATAATTTAGTGAAAAATAATTTACATGTTAAGCATTTTAAAAATAAGAAGCAGCAAATAAAATGCAATACAAAATAGTTCTAAGGACAGTGCTAGCAGATCTGAGAGCAGACCATGAGATTATACACCAAGAGAAGAATACAGTGGTATTGCAGCAAGCCATACCATTTTCTACTGATTTGAAGCAGCCTTTTGCTACTAACAGTTCCTCAACTCAGAAAAGTCAGGCCAATCCCTGCAGATCACAGGAAAGACAATAATTAAAAAAAAATATTTTAATTGGGCTTTACAGTGTTTGCTAAGGGAAGCCTACATTTTATATTTACTTAGACAACTTTGTCCCACAAGCTTCTTGTTCAAAAAACTTCCGTTATTGTATACACAGAAAAGCCAAAAATTATCCCCATTTAATAGAAAACAGAGCATCCAAGTAAATATCCTGTGACCATTCACACTTCCCTTTTGTTTAGGAAGGAAGTGTGTACATCTGTCACTACTACCACTTTTAAGACAATATACAAACTCTGTGTAACTAAACCAAGATTAATTCTTTGTATTCTGCAGTACTGAGGCTGCTGCAAAGCTTCACAGACGAGGATGAAACATACAAACTTTTCCTCAGTTTTAATCCCACACACACAGAGGATTTCCTTTCACACTTTTATTAACAGAAGTACAGTTTTACTGCATTCTTCCAGTTTACAAAACTTTAACAACAGATCTGGAAAACTTAACATAAAATACACTCCCGTTTCCCCCAACTTCCAAGCTGTTCCTCACCCATATAGGCACAAAACACCTAAGAAGTCAAAGTTTTTTGAAAGGGGAAAAGGAAAAGCAGAAACTGATCAGCATTTATATTTCTGAAATTAAGAAACCTAGGGAAACTCCATCTGTCACCAACACTTTGATCAAGAGAAGTCACCCTCTTACACAGCCTGGCAGACAGCTCTGGACTAGCAAACTCTGTTCTGCTAAAAAACAATAAATAATTTAAAAACCTCACCCACTGCTGCTATAGTCCAGGTTGCACAACCTTTTTTACTTCAAATACAAGTCAGTATATGTTCATCAGAATTTTAAGTTTCCTTGATATTGCCTTCCCTGTGGGCTAGAGCCCAATACACTAGATAAAAACGTAAGGCATCTCAGAAAATCCATAGTGCTCTGATAAATTTCTAATGCTGAACCTGCTCTGCTTATGTTTCTAATTCTTTCTCAAAACATACAGCCTTTGTTAAGGAAGGTTTAAGAAAAGTATTTTTTCCTTAGATGGGCTCATGCATAGAAAAAGCCTCATTCTCATGTCCTTCTCATGAAGTCGGGGTTCTGTTCTCCCACCCCACCATGACTTTGATTTCACCTCCATCCTGCAAATAAGAGGCTCTGGAGTACCTCTTCTTAGGACATTGCTGAGCTGCCACTCAGACATTCAACCACCTCTCAATTCTATCTCAGAGTTTTAAGTTCTTTCAGTCATCTACTACAGAAGCTGCAAAAGCAACTTCTGATATTACTGTATTTTCCCCCTTATATTTTCCAGGGAAACAATTAAACTGCCTCTCACACTCTATTCCCCTGGTCAGTGAAGTTTGATGAAGTCAGGCAAGCCCTTCATATTTTTCTATTTCCATTATGAGTTTTTTAATGCTGCTGGTAGTTTCAGGAAATGTTAATTTTTCTATAGATGAAGGGAAAAAAAACAAACAAACAAACAAACTACAATTTTAAAATTTCAGCATAAATAACTCAGTTTTCAAATCACAGAGAAGCAGAGTAGGAGAAGCTCGCAAAAGGTCATGCTACTGTCCCAAGGAAGGAGAAATTTCACCAGGGTCAGTTTTGCTAGATGCGGGTTTAACCTGTTCTGTAAGTTCTACATGATGGAGGCTCCCTACCCTTTGTAGCAATCCACATCACTGCTCAGTGCTTCAATAACATTATAAAGTATTTCCACAGCACCTAATATGAATCTTTACTTCTGAAATTTAAGTTCCTTACTTCTTGCTCCACCTTACATGGACATGAAGAACAAAACTCTTGTCTCTGGCAGCTTCTCGCATACCTGAACAATTCTGATTTTCCTTCTTAAGTCTTCTCTTTTGTAGTCTGTCTTTCAATCTGTCCTCTGAAGTTCTATTTTCTGGATGTCTGATTACTCTTGCTACTCTCCTCTGGTGTCTCTCCAGTTGCTCACTATTTCTCTAAGTGCAACAGCAGTGGTATGTGGGTGCACTGCTGTGTTTAAGGCCATAATAACCAGTGAAGAGAGCTGAATGGATCTTGCAGGTTATAATTGTGTTAAATACTTGACAACTGCCTCTTTGCATAGTATCAACAACATCGATTTATTATTTGCAACCACACAACACTGACTTCCACTCAACATACAACTACCATAAGCCCTAGAACTGTTCTTCAGAACTGATGCCCAGAGGGCTCCACTTAAGAGGCTGAAAAATTCTATTTAAATATTTTGGCATTGTTTTCCCCTCTGAATTCCATCCCAACTGGAAAACTCATTTGTTCAATTCAAGATTATTTTGAATTCAGCAGGTCTTCCAGCATACTTATATATCAAGTATGTACTTTCAAGTCACCTAGAGACTTAAAATATATTCTCTATACTAACCTCTGATAAGGTCCATTTTGACAATGAGTGACTGATAACTGCTTCCTGGGCACAATCATCCAACTAGCTTGCTCATATACTTAAGTAATCTAAATCATGCTCCCTGGCTGACTTGCAGAACTATCATGTGAGTCAGTGTGAAATCTTTAAATGTTACTGTTCTTAAGCGAAAGCAGAATGCAGTACTTGTCTCATTATGCAAAAGTTCCCATAAATCTTGCATGTTGACTTTTTTAAAGCTGTGTGCAATATGCAGTTTTAATTAAGAAAAGGTGTAAGAAATGTACAATGACAAGTGGTCAATTCCCACAAGTTATGCCTAAAAAGAAAACCAAGCAACCCAGCTGGTTTGCCTGCATTCTTTTTACATTTGTTCTTACCATAGAGCTGCCTCGTGAAGAGAGCAGTCCAGGTGCACATGGGGCTCAGAAGCAAGGGTTAGGTCTATACAGGTAAAGCAGGGATCACAGCAAGTTTCTCTACCTTTGCTTTAAACTGTCAGGACATGCAGCCAACTTATGCAAACAATGTTTTCCTTTTGCTTGTGAATTCCACTCACTGCTGAAGCTGAAGCAGCACTCCCCCCCCCAGAGTGTGTGAGGCAGGGTAGGAATTAGCACGTAGAATTGCTTCACTAGGTCATAAAACCAGTATACAGATCGCTGCCAACATTTTGCAAGACAGAGTTTCAAAGTCCACAAAAAACCCTAGAAGACAGGTAGTGCTCTGTATGTTTTTGCTTTAAATTAAAAAATGTCTTTCAGCACAGGTATTATTGAGGTCTTTAATTACACAAACTCACATAGATTTTTGAATTAAAAAAAAAAAAAATCAGGTTTTTTTACCCTACAGCCTTAGCTAAACAGAGATGTTATTTGATGGTTTTCAAAAATACCAGTCTACAGAAGACATCTGTAACAATTATAGAGCCAATCTTACTTCATGCTATACTAAGTATACAACACTGAAAACTGTCAGTCATATTTCTCACTACAATTATGTACTGCAAATAGCATTCTACTTAACTGCTTCGCCCATAAATTGTACAGTTACAGAAAGAAGAAAATGCTTGATAAGCATGTGCATATAACATTCATTCCTACAAAGTTACCTGAAATCTAAATCAAAAAGTAAGAAAACTCAAAACCCAGTTTTCAACTCAGGATGGAATTATGTAGGAATTACTTTACAGCAGTCTCTGCAAAGTTAAGAAATATATCAAAACACAAGGAACGACTGAAAACACCAGGGATTCATATGTGACTATCACTTAACACTGCCTGATTACATAATTAAGATATTTACTACAGGAAAAATACCCAGAAATACCCAGCCAGGCATGAGGAGAGTTGGGGATTCTCTCTCAACTTCAAAACATCCAAATTCTGGCTATTGGGCACTCGCTGTCAGTATACGAAAATTACAGCAAAGTCATGCCAAATTTTTACAGCACAAATCTCTCGTGCTAGCATGGTATCTTCCTTTTAAGCACAACAGCTTAAAAGGACAAAAATGTTTTGAAGAGTGATATTATTCTATACAAATTTTGATCATTAGTCAACCAATAGGTAGCTTTACACAAACACTGATGACAATACACCACTCCCAACTGTTCAAGTTTCCCCTCAGAATGGATAATACTAAGGAAAGCATAGGTTAATCTAGCATATGATGCCTTAATATTGTTAGAAATAATAAGCTGACAGAAAACAGAAAATTGTTTAAAAATTCTACTTCATTGGTTTGGAGGGGCACAGCGTTGCATTATTATTATTATTTTTAAACTAAGCACAGTTTTCCCCAAAGAAGAAAGAGGCTGTTGTATCACTGGTATAAGTTTAAATCACATAGAAGATTACCATTTACAACTGTATAGGTAGTACAATTTAATTATAACTCATCTTTCTTATTTCATGAAAACTTCAAATCGAGTACAAGCTCTTATACAGAAATACCTACTAAATACCTAGTTCAACACAGTTTGAAGTCAGGCACTGCAAACATCTCAATACTTTAAAGAAAAGATAAGTATGGAAGAGTTGCTTGTTTTACCAGCATTGCCCACAAATACAAAGCAAGGCAGAGTGAACTTCTGGTGTAGAAGTGATTTTGAAGAGAAGTCCAATTAAGAAGGAATGATACACTCACATATAAAAAACTGTCCCCCAAGATAACTTACCTCTATGTCTTGTAGACTGAACTCTTTCTGATCTTTGAAGTTCGCAGCTCCTGCACTCAGTTCCATCAGCATTTTTGCTATTTCTGGTTTTATTGCTGCTGTGAGTCGACTCGCTGCTTCCATGACATGTTCCTGCACGTCTTTCAGTTGCATAGCTGCCTTAGAATAGTGCGAGTTCCTAAATACACTGCTGAAAAGGTCTGTAAGGAAAGTGCTTGTACGGCAAAACACATTGAGTGCATCCAGATATTTGGAGATTCCCTGCTGGATGTCTGCGATTGGAGTAGTGTGGGACACAGGGTGGTTGCAGCTGCCCGCAGCAGCTGAGGAGACCAAAGGGGATGCTGGGGTTGTAGATGCCAGCGGTGCGCTCAGGGTCCTGCCTAGCTCAGGCATTTGATACTGCTGGTGTTGCTGCACTTTTTGCTTGGACCCGCCAAGCAAAAAGCGCCGCTTATAGTCCATTTTGCTTTCTTGTGCACTACAGCAATACATAAGTGAGTGCTTGTCCAAAGACTTCTTGAATTAACAATCACTTGTCCAATTCCTTCTTCAAATATATAGTTATGTACAGTAACAGTGGAGGACCATGTACATAAGTTTCACAAAAGGCATTTCAAAAAGGCAAGCGTCCGTCCGTATAATCTGTATCAGCAGTGAGAAAGGCAGCGGATTTGCTGACCGTATTTTCAGTGTTCAGTGCAGCCCTGCTGCAGTTATAAACTGTACTCAAAAAGCAAGCTGAAGTATCTTAATAATGCTCTGGTCTCTTGTTTGGTATTCCACTCTGCACACAGAAAAGCAACACTGGAGCAGAGAAGTTAATCGCCTATGATTTCTTCATGAGCATATTATTGTCACTTGCTATTAAGTCTACAAAACTTACTTTTGTCGATGCAAATAATAGTTTTAGAAGCAATACCTTAATACAATTTTCCCATTAGTAATAGCAGGAAAAGTGGAGCAAACCACTGATCAACAGCGATTAGAAAAGCAGTGCAGAGGCTCCTTCCTTGAAAAAGCAAATCCTTATGTCAGCAGATCAAATATCTTCAAATGTCTTGACAGATCCAGTCTGCCAAATGAGTTTATTTGTAGTGTCTCTTCTTAATACTGGAGGGGAAAAAAAAAATCTGGACTCTGTTTGCAGAAGACTTTGCAAATATATGCTATTAAAAATTAGAGTGTTTATTATTGTAAGCCTTCTTCCCCTTTTCTTGTTTGTTGAGGTAGTTGTTTCCGTTGTAACATTAAGAAGTGGTGCTTCCAGACTGCATTTGCCCTCAATTGTAGACTCAGAACAAAAATGCACAAATATATTTGTAAGGCCTCTAGGTCATTTCCTGTGAAGCAAAAAAGAGTAAGTTTAAATGTTATGGAACAATGAGAAGGTTTAAGATTTTAACTCCTGCAGCGTCCTGATATACTTCTCTAGGCATACACTGTCAACAACACGGAAGATCAAAAGTAAGGGAGAGTTGCACTGACAGTTTAAAAGGCAGTTACAAGTTGGTGTCATCCTGTTACTAAACTCAACACTGCTGAATATTTTCTTATTAATTCTCCTATCCTAGACTGTGAAACTTAAGACTATAGTTAAACCCCAGTGCAACCCTCATACAATCAGGAACAGTGAAAGGCTATTAATGCAGAGCTCACGGGGAGTAAATCACATTTTCTAACCTCATCCTTTTAAAATAGTTTAAAAATTAAGTCAGTTAAACTTTTTTTCACGCACTGTAATTTATTGCAGAAATCTGAGACCACCATTCATTTTAATCATTTACTAGATGAACAGATACAGGTCCTTATTTTTTTTCAGTACAACAGCAGACAAAAGTGTCTATATCCTAGCTGAGATTAGCTGAAAAATACAACATACGCATCCCATTTCAGGATGACAGACAGCATCCATCATATGCAATGTATTATATGAGGCAGAACTGCCTAACAGATTGGCCTAAATAATACTCCCCAGACATGAAAGCAGGGAGTAAACACAGCTTCTAGTACTGTCCTGCTCCTACCAGCAAACTCCGGTGCAGCTGTAGAGCCAAGACATTTGTAGGAAGGTGAGCAGAGCCTGAGCAGTGAGAAAGAGTCAGTTTGCAGCCAGATACCTTCAAGGCCAGGCTGGAGGAACTGGAACTTCTGGAAAGGTGCATGAAGACTTTTAAGCCCTTACTCAAACACAGCTCTTCGCTGCACAGGGCTTGGCATCTCATGATCATGTTTACACGTTCAAGTCATATATCCATATAATGGTCACAGTTATCATAGGATCTCATTTACATATCCATACATATATATTTTATATAAATGCACACATATATATACACACTTATACACGTGTGATGAGATTTTTTTATGCATTATGAATTTATAGCTTGTTAGTTAATCCCACCTCAATCAGCTTCCTTCCTTCTGTGCCAGAGTCAGAACCACACTGATCTAATTACTTCTTATCCCACCAGCCAAGTTAGAGTAGGAAATGCCATACTTGTGTCCCGAACAGGTAGCTTTGTACAGCATTCCTTGCTTTGAGAGAAAAACGTTCTATTTCTTGAGACTCCAAAAGACATGATTAACAATATCAGGACATTATCAGAAGGAAAATATAATGCAGAGAAATAGAATTTGTTCAATCAGTTTATCTAGTCCTAGCTATTAATCACATTTCAGGTCACTCCCTCCCTCTCCTGCACATACACTTGAATTAATTTGATCAAATAAAGACATTCTTTTCCTTACTGCAGCAATTGCAACGCAGAAGGCTAATATCAAACAATAATTCATAATGGGATTTTTCCCTGAGCATTTAAAAGAATAATCCAGATACAACTGGAAGGACCCTTTAATTCAACAACAAAATGTTCCTTTAGCTATTGTATTTGAGATATGAAACCTGTATTGTCAAAATGGTTGGGAAATAAGATTTTATCTTCAGTCAAAATTTCTTACTTCCACCTGTCTGAAGAAACAAGATATCAATTCATTGACATAAGGTGTTTTGACACATATGTATGACAAAAATCCCACAGATAAAGAAGCAGGCAAGACATAGCAGTACAAAACAACATACAGAGCCGGGTAGTCTCACACTTACTAAAACAACAGACACACAAGTCTTTCAGGAAGTCCTTGCTGCAGATGGTTCTGCTTCTGAGAACTAGGGTAAATATTCTTCTGTATTCCCACTTTTTAAAACATGATAAACAGAGAAAACACAGAAGAAGCTCCCATATGCATTTCAGCACCTAAACCAATACTCTAAGCTAATTACTTTCCTAACTACTTTATACTTCTCTCAATATTCACACTGGATGTGTCAAAATGCAATAGACCTATTAAAAATTGAATTTTCTAGGTGGTCTTGATATCATATGTATAGCTGAAAATATTTTTTGCCTTGCTTTACAAGCTATGGTGCTTTACAGTAGAAAGCATGATTTAAATTGGTTTTCTTGATTGCATATAAATGTAGATGAAACAAAAGAGCTGGTTAATTTATATGCATTCTGTAAGTAAATTGGTGATTATTTTCCCTAAGTAGACATGAATTTCACACTGCAAAGGAACTTAAGAAACCATCAGGAAACATCTAAATGTTAATTAGCACCAAAAGTAGAAAAAGCTAAGAAGGAGGGGTTTTCAAGCTATACAACGCTGAATTAGACAACTGTATTAGAGACGCACTACAATTTGGTGGTTCTGATTGTGCACTGAGCCTTTCAGGATCAAACTAAGACAATGATCATTTGAAACAGTCTGTTATTTAGCCAATACATAAAACCGCTACATCCTAAAAGAACATAAATGAAATGAATAGGAAAAAAATAGTGTTTTCATCTTTTCTACAGCAATTAACAAACAGGATAAATCATTGTGTTCTCCTTCTAGAAAATTTCACAGTCAAACATGCAGGTAATTACTCAATTCTACAATTTCAGTATTCCCGTGTAATCAGCACAGGACAGCTTCTATCTTCAGCATCTAAAGAGATATTTATTTAGAGAGGAAAGTAGAGTTCTCAACACTAGGCATGTGGGTAATGCCACATGTCTTACACTTTCTATAATGAGCTCTCCAATATGCTACATAGAAAATAAACATTCTTCCTCTTGCATCTTTTCCTGAAAAAGTAAAGTGGAGAACGTTCTCACGCTCTCCCCTCCCTTCCCCAATGCTATGGTTCCCCCACTACTCTTGGTGCCTGGACAAAAAGTAGGGGCTCCTTATGAATGTTATGCCAATCTAACTCTTGGCATATTAGGAAAAAAAAATTCTGTTTCATGCTCGTGATACAAGAACAGCATGTTATCAGTCCAAAATATAAACTTTAACCTTGTACTTCATTCTGCAGAAAATAGAAATATTAATGGGAATCACATATAGAAGCTATCAACATTAGCATGCCACAAATAGCAACATTTTATTCTTTCCTTTATGTAATCAAGACCAAAACAGTGTTGTTCATATGCTATTGAATATTTTAAACAGAACTAATATATAGTAAAAAAAAAAAGCTCCAAACTGAACACTGTCCTGTCAAAAGCTGTAAAAAGCTACTGAAAAAGCTCGCCACAACATTTATGTTCTCACTTTAAGGAGTTAATTCTCTAGTTAAGGAACTACTACTAGTTTGAACTATTTGAACTTCCACAGAGAATCAAGCAGACATCTGCATTAGTTGCTCTAAAAATGGCCACATTTGCATAGAGAAAACAGAAATTGCATGAAAATGAGTGAATATGCAAATCAAGTTCACTATTCTTTTTTTAAATGTAACATCCACAATTTTTTGCTTAGATACTTCCCAGAAAATCAGCCAGCTTCATTGATTCCAAGAGACGACTTCCAGCCAAACAGAATTTGGCACTTCCCAGTTTATGTTTTGGACCAACAGAAAGGGGTCTAATCCCCCATCCATCCCATTTGGGATTACTCTGCGAGAAGAGGATGAAACATTTTCCCGGAATCAACACAGGAAATTGAGCAGAGGAAGTAGTAAAATGCACAAGCCTACCACTAGTTAGTTTAGTTACACAATTACCCATACTGTCAGCTTCCTTTCAGCCAACATCATCTACCATCAACATGAATGTTTTGCAATTCATACTGGTTAAAAATTTTTTGCTCAAAAAAAAGAAAGATGTTTCATGCTTTAAAAAGGGTTCTGATCTCAATTTTAAAAACGGCTCACAAAGGTGTTATTTATGAATTCTGTTGTCCTTTCAGTGAATGTGTAATATAACATATATGAGCAAGATGATCCAAAATACCTGAACTAAATTTTTTGAAAGTAACACTTCCAAATACTGTACATTGGTTTTAATTGTATGAGATATAGTCCAAATCTCAGGATGAACTTAACATCACAAGCACCTTTCACGTAAAACAATCAAACATGAAAGCAACTAAATTCAATTAAAGTCCCCAGAAAAGTAGCTCCAAAAGAAACAACCCAGAACAGCTAAATTGCTTATCAGGAAGAAGCCTGAACAAACAAAGCCTATTGCAAGGCCAAAAGGCCAGCAAGCTGCCAGAGCCAAGGGCCTCCTGTCGAGAACACACCAATTCCCTCTCGCATTTAGTTACACAACTCTTGTGCAAAGCCAAAAGTTACTCCACTGTGAAAGTCATCATTCCACTTCCAAGTTCAGCTGTCGCTAATGTGTACATCAGATCCATCACCTGGCCAGGCCAACCAAGGTCCAAATGTGGATACCTTAAAAAAAAAAAAAAAAAAACAACAAATAGCCCAAAAGGTCTTTGACAACTGAATACCAAACTGGGAGCAGCACAGGAGCAGAATGGTAGGGAAAGCCCATACGCTATTTCTAGAAGACCAGTCACCCACTGTCCCCAGCAGCAGCTGGCTCAGAATTACAAAAGTTACCAGCCGAGGACCAAACATCATCAATTTGTGTATCAGCACCTCATGGCACAACTACAAATGTCCTGGCAAAGGAAATCCAGGCTGAGGCCCAAAGCCGAGCGTGCATAACAAGATGGGCTCTGCTGCTTTGCTCACCTTGAGCGCCACACTGGCAAGGGTGAACGCAAGACAACGACAGCAAGGACGGAAGAGACAACAGCAAGGGGTCCTGGAGAACGCAGCACCGAGAGGCCCAACTATGAAAGGTTTCAAACCAGTAGTCTACACAAAAGCACAGACATGGTACTTAAACAGGAGAAATGGAAAGTTAGTCCCAGATGGGGCCCTGTGAAGTAGAGTGTACCAGTGTGCTCAAGGCACAAACGAACCACACCAAAGCTTCATCTGGAGGGAAGAGCCACGGGCTGTGTGTAGAGCAAGAGGTTATTCTTGCTTCTCCTTTCA